TGTGTGTGTGTGTGTGTGTGTATATATATATATATATATATATATATATATATATATATATGATGCTGTTGAGCAAGTGTTTATGATAATTTCGTTACAATTCTGAGTAAAATGATAAGGAATTGATTTCACTTAAACTTAGTATTCAAGATCAGTTCAGTGATACCAATTATATATTTGCTTATATGTGGCTTTAAAAAACATGTGACAACTTTTTAGTCATAACTTTTTGTTTTTACTGAACACTTTTTTGTTGATGTTGTGTAGTTAAATCAGATTTCAAACTGAAAATGTCCCTGAGAAGGTTTGTAATAAGTTTCAGAGATCTGTGTTTTTATTCAGTAAGGGTTGAGTCCTACTTTATATTTACAAAAACCCTTTAATGTTCAATTCATAGATATGGATTCTGCATCTCGTATAGGATAATCATAGGTCTATATACAACATTTTATAAAATAATTAAAATACTTGTATGTCTTTTGTTAGACACGATTCCCCTAACATTGTAGTTTAAAGCATGACTGATTTTCCTGAATAACAAAAGCTTTTAAAGTCAATTAGGAAGTTACTGTCTCAAATACTTGGCAAATGACATTTTATTTCTGTGACTTTCATAGGAATGAATGTTTTAGTATTGAGACTATCAATTATTGTACCACGGTATCAATACTTAATCCGTAGTTTTCTATTTTGGTTTATTATTTTTTGTACAAGAGCAAACATGAAAGTGGCTCTTTAATGAAATTCCTTAGGGAATATCACAAAATAGTACTATTGTTCTTTATATTTTTACTAAAATGTTCATTAATTTTTTACTCTGATTGTCAGTCACAAATAAATTTTTAGATACAAACATTTTTTATCACCACATTTTTTCTTATTCTCTTACTTTTTTTCTGAAAAATATGCAGGAGATTTTGGTGGTTCTTGTAAATAACACATTTTACACTAATGGTGCTACAATATCTTTATAGAATATATATTCTGCATATAACTGATAAACACAAGCCACAACCTTACTACCTATGACTGCTTTGATAACAAAAATGCTATTAAACTCTGGTAATCATGTTATTAATCTAACAATATGTTTGTTGGCTTTCATTTTTATGTACAAAATTGTATTACATGGGCATTTTTTTAAAGGGAGGCAGCTAGTTCAGTAAGGCTTATGGAAATGTGCATGCTTGTGCAGTTGGCAGTTAACAAAACTTAATGCTGAAGAAGCATGTGCTTTAGATTAAATTATGGTAAGCAGATTTTGCCTAAAGGCTATACTTTTCTGTTGGATCAATACTGTAAGGGTAACTGATGATCCATCACCATGTTTACTGGTATTTCGCACACTGGCTAAGTAGGTCTGTTAGAATGATTACCTGTAAATCAACTTGTCATATTTCGCTTTACTGTGTATGTTAAAAGGCTCAATTAGTCACTCCCATTTACTCACTGAATCTATACAAGTCTTGGTTTTGATCAGCTAAATAATGATGATGACAGGAAAAGAAAAACATATGGAAAAACTCTCATGTTTGAGAAATTAGAATTAGAAAAAACATTAATAACCTGTTATTTAAACTCATATTTTTTTTTTGTCTACAAATAAATTTATTATAAAACAACATTTTACATGCTCTTGTTTTCTATATCCCAGCCAGAACTGATTGGCTGAAATATTAGAAAATATTTTTGTTTTTGAATGAGTGTATTTCAAACCTACTAAAGCCAAAGTATTAAATATTATAATAGCATATATTGTAATGAAAAGACTATGGAAATCATAATATTTCTATTTATAGTGCTGTAATAGAGCATACAAACAGAGTGATATTCCTTGAAGATGATGATGTAGCTGCTGTAAGTGATGGTAGTGAGTATACAAGTTTTACAATATTTGGTTGTAATAATTTTTTTATTCTTAATATTTTTGCATTTGTTTCTTTACAGATCAGTTATATTTAAGTTCAAGAAAATGTTTTTTTTTCTGTGTTTTTTTTAAAGATATCAGTTTTGATAGCGTGATTAGTATTCCTGTTTCATATTGGTTTAATTAAAATCATCAGATGTAATCTGGGTTTACTTTTCTAGTTATCATTTTTAATCTGTTTCTCACAAACACGCACAAATGTGGTTTGTTACATCTGTTGACGTTTATTTGTCAGTTTTTTATTATTTTGTTTATAAGAGAAGCTATGAAAATAAGCTTCTTGTAAATGTTTCTTTTTGTTTTAACTGTCAAAAAGAAAGAAGCAGATAATGGTATCGTGAAATAAATCAAAGACCATGTGGCACTGAAGCTGAATTGCTGGTTAACAGTAATAAAACCTTTCTGTGATTATGTTTGGCACACAAGAAAAAAATGTTTGATTCAAACAGTTACTAGCAATAAATTACTTAAAGTTTAAAAATAGAAGCTTTTATGGAAAAAGCTGGGTATTCTTAGAGTTGTACCATTTTAGGCATAATTTTAAAACCTTGTATACTGTATACTTCTAAAAAATTAAATCTTGGAAAATACAACCAGACATCATGTTTATAAACAAACTGTGCCTTTGGCACTTGAATGCCCTGTGCGATTTATTAGGTTTAGTTAGTTGTGAAATCTCAAACTTACTGTGCATCATAGGGATGAGACTGTCATCAAGATACCCAAAATCATTACTTTACTTTCCACAGAAAACTATACTGTGTCACCCTATTTTTAGAAAGAGGTTGGTGATCCGGAATAAGGAATGGTGTAATGTTGCCTGGACTGCATACTAACAAACTTCCTGTGTCAGGAGTATTCAGTTAGAAGGAGAAGAGCATGTGATTTGGCCAGTGCTAAAGTCCTCTAGTGTGTAAATAAATATAGATAAATAAAGATGATAATTGTACCAACCCTTTTGTTAGCTTGATCTTATGGCTGTAAACCTTACTACCATAAATACTATAACATGTGAAAAATAGATATAACTTCATTTCCTGATGCTTGACAGGTCTTGCATATGGTAGACATTAACATAAAAATGTATAGAAAATGTAGGTTTCTTTCAAAACAAAAAAAAACAGTACACATATACTATATGGAAGTGAAAACATATGAGACTTTAAAGTTTGGTGGTAATTACAGCAATGTCATACATATACAACATTAAAAAATTTAGAATATTTACAGTGAAAATTAATCAATCATTACATTTAATAGCACATAACAAACATAGGAGAATGCTAGGAAACTAGTTTAATGTAGCAAATCCATGTACATTTATTAAATGAATAAAACATAGTATGAATGTCTTACAATATCTAGCCCTGTTGTCAGTGTTTTGCTGCATTTTGCACAAATTATGTATGAACCACATTTCACAAATGCTTAACCCTTTAATATAAGCTATAGGAATAAGAAAAGAAAAACAATTATTTGATCAATATCTATTGTTTTTTCAAGACCTGACAATTCATAGGATGAAACGAACAATTGATGACACTACGAGTAGGGAGATCATTACACTGAAGATGGAAATCCAACAAATTATGAAAGGTGTGTGTGTGATCATGCATTTGTTTTTAGTGAAATTAAAAAAAAACGTTGTGGTAAGGGATTTTTTTTTCATACAATATTTTGATATTAATGTTGGTTCCTGTATCAATTTATTTAATGTAAAAATGTCTTTCCAAGATAACCATTCAGTGTTACTCATTAAAATCACTACAGTCAAACTTATCTTCTAGGGAACTACAGCTCTTTCATGCAGAAAGAAATCTTTGAGCAACCCGAGTCAGTTATCAACACCATGCGAGGAAGGGTTAATTTTGACACAGAAATAGTTATCCTTGGAGGAATCAAAGATTACATTCCTGAAATTAAGAGATGTCGAAGACTGCTGCTAATTGGTTGTGGAACTAGCTACCATAGTGCTATTGCTGTATGTGAAATTACACAGTATTTGTAAATTCCATGATGTTCTAACCTTTGAATATGAAATACAATTCGAAAATTTGAGAGGTCTTACTTTCATGTTACAATTGTCCATTAAATTAGATAATTGTTTGCTATTACTTAGGTAGTAATATAAACAGGATTTTTGAAATAACAAATTTTTTCATGGGTAAAATGTTATTGATAAACTAAAGTTTTAAAGTAAGATATTCTGTAAAACTTGTTTACCATATGTGATGGACATTGTATAGTGACAGAAGACTTTCATAAAAAATGACTGTAATATTCTACTTCAGTTTTCAATGAGAATTAGTATTTGTCTATCTTCTTTAATTTAGTGTGTGCAGTCAATTTTTTTTCCACCTTAATTTCATTTTTGAATCCCCTGCTATTTTTGTTTCAACAGTCTAGAATATTTGTAAACATATAATTGTAGTAGGAGTAAGTGCAGCACATGTATTTCACAAATCTAGTGCACTAGAAGATGGGGGATTGGCTTGGCTACAATAGTATCAAATGGTCGATTACTTTATTTTCTTTTGTAGGTAGGTAAATATTGGTTGAATTTTCTTGACCAAAAGACTGAACTACAATAAATTCAGTTTCTGGGGTGTATGTTCTTAATTAATAGTCATAATTTTTTTTTATCTATAAACTTTTCTCTACTTTTTTTTTGTAACTTAAAACTGTCATAAGTATATTAGAAACCTTAGTTTCTCCCCCTTTTTAGACTGTTCTGTATACCTTATATTTTGTCAAAATGAATATATGCATTTCTGATTTATTAACAGAATTAATATAACAATCACGTGATTGGTAATTATTAATTTACAATACTAAAAATGAAACATCTGTTGAAGTTCAAGCAATTTTTTATTTTGTTTAAGCAGTAAAATAACTTTTTTTTAATTAATAGTCAGTTTGTTTACTTGATTACTGTTATACAGTAATATTTCTTACTTTCTTTATAAAGTATAAATTATCTGCTTATGATAAATAATAGGAATTCATCACATTTTAAATGGATTTACTACTTTAAGTAATATTATGAAAATGCAAAGAAAATTTATTTTACATTAAGTGACTATAATTTCCTGCACTATATGTTGAATAACATCTGGCTTACACAATAACATATACGGTAGGTGCTTGATTTATGAATGTTAACTTTCCATCTCAGGAGAAAATTTAAAGGTCACGTTCTTTTTTCTGAACAATTTCAGTCAAAACATGCCAAATTATAGTTGTGATAGGTGTCTAAAAACATATAATATATATGTATAACTACTATAAATTAGAGAGTGTTGCCATTAGAATGAACTCATGTTCATTGTAGTAGTTATATTTAGTTTGATAAGGACTTAGACTAAAATTATTGAAAATGTAAACATTGAGACAGACTCCAATGTGAAGGAGCTTGAAAAGGAGACAAACAAGTGGAGGTGAGAATGGCTAAGCAGAGTATATTGTGTCAGGCAGCTATTTGTGAAGTGGACTTCCATACAGTTGTTTAGTCCCATAATTTTAAATGTGTTAACATCCATGTTGATTATTCAAACAGTGTACTGTTTCTTTGACAGTACTGACAAACACTGCATATAAAATTATGTAATTTAAAAAAATACTCACCTTAAGGCTCTACACATACATACATACATACATACATACACCACATAACTAGTTTTGGCCTTAAACCTACATCATTTGACAGTTAACATAACATAATTTTTGGGACAACATGGGACCTATTGGTCCATCTTGGCTGTTCCATCTTCTAAACTAAATTAAACTAATTAAAAAAGTCTTAAAGCCAGCTCTTATCATTCATGCACTTATCATGTTTTTTTTAAACTCACTTAAACTTACTGCCTCTACAACATCAGAAGGTAACCCTATTCCAAAGGCCAACCACCCTGTTAGAAAAATGAAACTGTCTTAGCTGAAGACGACTCCTACCTTGCCAAAATTTATTTCTGTCCCCTAGTCATACTATTCACACTGTTAAATATGAAATAATGATGATGCATCAACACTATCAATTCCCTTTACAATCTTATACACCTCTATCAGATCTGCCTCCACCCCGACCCCTACCTCCCTAACTATTCTTTTTTCAAGAGAAAACAATTTGAGATATTTCAGCCTCTCCTTGTATGACAACCACTTCATCCCAGGCACCTTTCTAGTAACCCTTCTCTGAAACCTTTCCAACAATTCAATGTCCTTCCTAAGGTAAGGAGCCCAAGCTTGAACATAATATTCTAAATGTAGCCTAACCAGTGATCTGTACAATGAAATTATAACCTCTTTAGACTTGTATTCAATATTTTTGTAGATACAATGTAAAATCCCATTTGCCCTACCATTAACAACACCACACTGCTTGAATGACTTTAGAGACTGATCAACTATTACACCAAGATCCCTTTCCTTCATAACACTGTTAAGGTTATTCCCATCCAAGTTATACTTATAATTCAAATTATGATAATCCACATGCATTATCTTGCATTTATTATAATTAAAACCCATCTGCCATTTACTTGCCCAACTTACAAATGATCTAAAT